GGACAATTAAAATTTTGAAATTCTTACCTTTAAATTAATGATTTTTTGAACTCATTTATTAGTGATAATGATTATAGTATTAAAAAAGTATATTTCTCCTCTATGTTAGTTATTGACTAAAAATCAATGTGTATTATCTATTAAATTTATCATAGTTAAAATTATTTTTTTTTCAAATAAAATATATAAAATAATTATTTGATGTTACAAAATGAATGAAAATTTGGACTTATTTTTTTAAAAATATATCTAGAAGAAAGCAAATTATTCATAGGTTAGATATAGTTTATATTACACAAAAGACAACAAAGTGTTGTGTGCTCTAGTGGTAAGTTCATGCTCTAGTTAGTTATAGGTCACGTGTTCAAATCTTTGGTCCCTAAAATTTCAACAAAAAGAAGTTTTAAAAACCGGTCAAATCCGATTTTTGACCGGGCCACTTGCATTTGCATAATAAGATATTGTCCGGCCCAGCCCAGGGTCCAGGCCACTGGTTTACAGGGCTGACCATCCGGGCCGGGCTGGTTTTAATAGCAATGGTGTTAAGTAAAGTTTTTAAACAATATATATTTAAACAGAAATAAGATACTGCTATAATCAATATTCAATGGATTGTAGAGATGGCACTACTTCACCTATTAAAGTTGCTAATTTTGTTCTGCCAATAAAAGAGGTTGAACAAGTAAAGAGAATACGTTTTAGTCATGACCAGAAAATGGTACGAGTACAAGGAGAAAGGGAAGCTCTTACAACCTTAAAGAGCAAGGCCCTATGACGCGAATGTCCAACATCAAGACAGCCAAGTGGAAGGATGATGGTATTCAGAACAATCTGCAACTCATAACTTCTTGCTTTCCACCTCCCAGACATATCTTCTGCATCACTAACAGGACCCCCCATTCTGTCAACAACAAGGTTTGCAATCTTTTGAACAAGAAAACTTATTTTTGGGCCAGCAACAGAATCCTGGCATTCCATAGCCATGAAGTGAACTTTATCCTCAAGCTGCTTTAGTTCCATATCAACTACACGGTTGACCAAAACAACCTCATAACCAACATTATCCGAAATAGACTTTACTTCAAGATCAAGCAGTGATGGCATTTGTTCTTGGACCACCAAACTTGAATTATTTCCAGAAACATCATAGAACCCATCGATTACTGTCTCATCATAATTTACAACACTACAGCTCTGCACCAACCAAGAATAACACAAAATGAAACCATTAATCGCTTCAACTAACATGTAATCTAACAACTTTGAGACACCAGTTGAACTAACTAAAATCATGATTATAGTCCACTTTGTCATTTTCTACATAATAAGAATATTTATCCTACTATTCTTATCTTACTAGGATAATTTGTTGGTTTAATTGATATTTACGTTGCAAGAGGTAACCATCCCATTTTCTCATAAATATGTACTATATGTATAGATTGCATTTTCACGAGCTTTTCCTAACTAAATGAGTATTTGTCAAGTGGTTATAAATTGTTAAAATTATATATATAGATAGAAATAAGATGATGATAAGTGGTTAGTATTAATAGATCCCTCGAAACGAGTGGATAAAAGTGACTTGAGTGTTTATAAACAGTTTAAAATATGAGCCAAAACTTGGATAAAGCATTAATTTCAGCCAACATAAGTACAAACAACATTTAATATTGCAATTATATGCACACTTATTTATTTACGAGTAGAAGTTATATAAACCGCCTGTTGTTAATAAATGAAAATAGCACAACTGTTTTAGAATCATGCCAATTATTATAAATTACATGGACTCGTTAGAAATTAAGTACATATTGCAGTGTTAGGCCTGCTTAACAGTGTAAATGATTAAAAAAATTATATTACTTTTCTTTGATAGGTATGATTAAAAAAATTATATTACTGTGCCATGTGAATTGAGTTGCTACCCCCCACCCATGTATCAGCTATTAGGGTGACGCAGATGTCCACACCAATTATAAGACTGCTTACCTAAATCCCAATTCCACCGACAGTTTACAAAAAAGTTTCTTCAATACAAATCTATTTCCCAATAGAGAAGTCAAACTAAATATTCATTGCAAAATAATTTGAGTAAAATTTTGTGAATAATACAAATTTCTTCTCTCCTAGACATCTTTAACCCCCCGCATTTAAGAAAAACTAGAAACCACAATAAACATAACATAGAAATCCGACAATTCCTTTAACTAGAAAAGATTATTACCTCACGGCTAAAATTAAATGAAATTCGTGCAAAATTATTTAGTACATTCAGAAAAATCGAATAAAAAAAAACTAAAATTAAATGAAATTCGAGTGAAATTAATTGGCACATTGAAAAAACACTAATTAATGAAAATAGTTGATAATTACCCAATAGCGGAGAGACAAAAATTCTGAGAGGCTTTGCGAGGGCGAGCACCCGAGGCTAATTTGATTGGCGGCGTTAATTTGTGCGGTTTCCTGGTTACTATCATTTCGACCCTGATCCGAAACGCTGATAGCCAAGGCCAACTCCACCTGGAACTCCTCCTCAAAGAAATTAAAGCTATTAAAATTTTCGTTTTCCAAATCCGACGTCGTCTGAGGCAAATCAGTTGGTGATGATGACGAATTCGACGCAGGTGATGGTTGAAACGACGTCGTCTGAAAGGATGAATCGAGTGCTGGCGGCCCGTGATGATCGCGAATGTGAAACTTCCGTAGCAAATGTTTCATCTTCGACATTTCTAACTCTCATCGACCGAAAATCGACTTCAAATAAAATAATTATCGAAAAATGACTTCTTCTGATTGATTGACTAGGGTTTCTTGACTACCCGTTGATGGAGAATAGGGAGAGTATGAACCCCAAAGTCTGCAGTATATTAATATAGGATTGAGGATACGGTATCGTCGTCAAGTAACTGCTCCCCACCAACATGGCTGCTTCTATATTTCCATGTATATACGCTACGCGTATAATGGATGGAAATTGGGCAGTTGGTTCCAATATAATCAATTGACAGATTCTGCTATATCTACATAATAATTTATAGATTTATTTATCTACGGATAATATCACAAAATTTAAAAATAAAAAACCCTTAACACTTTTTTTTTTTTTTTTTTTAAAATTTTTTAAATTT